AATATATTTGCATATGTACATGTCTTTATCTAGACGTTTATAAATGCCCTTTGCCTCCCAGCTCTTGGAAGCTTCTCTCCAGAGTAAATGAAGTTCCACCTGCCACCCACCCCCCGAGCCGCCCAATTCCCAGGAGCTCTGGGAACCTGTGGTCACCTTCCATAGCCCAGCTGTCGCATGTGTGGGAGGCCATCTCTGAGGCCACTGGGTACCTCTAACCCGGGGGTGGGCGGGAGTCTCTTTACCCTGGCCACCTAGGGGCCAGTTGAGTGCCCTGTGACATTAGCGAGGGGATCAACACCGTGGTTGTGGGGACACCAGCGGGGGACCTGTTTCTCAAAGAGGAACAGGAGCAGGAGAAAGAAAGGAAGTCTGGCCACCTGCAGGGTCTGTGCCTTGCCTGACCTGGGGAGAGGGCAAAGCTGCAGGTGGCATAGGCTGGCACACGGGATGCGAGGGGCATGGCACGGACAGGGGCCGGCCTTCTGAGGAGGGGGCTGTGCGGCCCCATCACAGACAGACAGCCATCTCTCGGCGCTGTGTGCACAGCTTCCCCCTTGCTGCCGTGGCCTGCCGAAAGCAGGTGGGCTGCACTGGAGTGGGGGCGGGGGTGGGGTGGGGCAGGGAGGGCAGTTACCAGGGCTCCCTGCTGCTGCTGTTGGGAGTCATGGGCTCACAGCCTCCTTGGAGGATGGAAGCATGGCCCCAGAGGGTCTCCAGGGCTGTCGGCTTTCAGGTAGCAGTTGTGGGCTTGCAAGGCCAGCCTGGCAGTTCGTTGCTTAACCTGCTGCACCAGCAGGACCCCCCTGACCGACCGAGAGCCTGCAGGGCCGAGTGGACGAGTGGAGTCGCTCCCTCGGGGGTCCGATGCTCTCAGAGCACCAGCTGGTTTCAAACCGAGGCGCTTGGCAAGCAGCAGAGGGCTTCGTCGCTTCTCACTTGCGTTCAGGCTGTGGGGTGTGGGTGCCACCTGGGAGGGCGACATCGCCCTGGGGAGCTGGCTGAGTCCTGCCTGGCTTCCCACGTAAAACTCCCTGCCTCCAGTCCCCCCACCCTGGGAGACTTCCAGCGGAGTTCTCTGCAAGGGGTGGTGGTGGAAAGCCCCCCCACCCCAGCCACGGGCAGACATTTGTCACCTGCCCAGAAGCCCAAGCAGAAGTGGGGACCCTGTAGAAGGGACCTGGGTTCAATCCCCACCAAGACTCCTGTGCAGCCACTGCCCACCCGTCTGCCTGTGGGGGGTGGCTCGCAGCATGAGGCTGAGCAGGGTTTAGCAGAGCTGGCAGACTAGGAAGAAAGGCCTGGCTATTGGCTTTAGAAAATCAGCCTGGAATCGCAGTGAGGCATCATGGGATGGCGTGGGGACCAGGCGGGCTTCCTTCACCGTGAGCAGGGCGGTCTCACCGACAGTCAGCACCAGCAGGCCCAGGGCTAATTTGGGCAACTGCAGGATGTTCCCTTTGGGCAAATGGAGGGAGCAGTGTGGGATGAGGACGGTGTCTGGTCCACTGAACCACGTTCCCCTGCGGGGACCCACAGCTGGGCTTAATGAGCCCCAACCCATCAGTGTCGCAGGCTGCTGGCCTGGTCTAGTGTGCTCAGTGGGGCCAGGGCTCCATTTCCCATGGCGATGAATTTGCATTTTCTACCTACATTTCTGCAGCCCTGACTGAACTGCTTTGTGTATCCACCCATTCCTTCATTCATCCACACATTTCTTCATTCATCCACACATTTCTTCATTCGCTCACGTGTTCACGCATTCACTCATTCATCCACTCATTTCTTCACTGGCTCACATGTTCACCCATTCATTCAGTCATCTACTCGTTTCTTCATTCACTCACATGTTCACCGGTTCATTCATTCATTTCTTCATTTGTTCACGTGTGGAAGAAAGGCCTGGCCACTTCTCTGTAAAATTCACTGCCTTGGAGTCCCTGTGGGCAATTCCACCTGCACATGAGGGTCCCAGGAGTTGGAATCGGCCAGATGACACCCAGCCACAGCCATTGGTCATTTAAGTCTTGGGGGACAGCTCTGACCATCAGCTTGTAAAAGGTTGCAGCCTTGGTGACCCATTGGGCAGTCTCACCTGCACGCTCAGAGTCCCGGGAGTCAGAATCAGGGCAGTGGCAGACTCCACTGACTGTCCCCATCCGTGGGACCTGAGTCCCAGGTGAGCTGTCACCTTGGACAGCTCTGCTCGTGGTGCCTTTGCTGGGGTAAGCCTTCTTCGCAGACGGGGTGGAGGGACTTGCCTGAAAGCAGGGCCTTGGGACCGCAGATCTGGTCTGAGCCTGGCCTACATTGGGGAGGGCTGAGAGAGGGGGCCAGGGCGGGGCTAGGTGACCAGAGGGAAGGACCGGCGAGGGAGGCCATGAGGTGAGGGTAAGACTAGGGTGCAGGCAGTGGGGTGCTGGTAGGCTCTGGTTAAAAGGACCATGGGGCGCAGCCTGTCAGAGGGGCTGGGGTTCAAGGGCAGAATGGACCACAGGGCACAGCCTGCCAGAGGAGAGGGGCTGGGGTTCAAGTCTGGCCCCAGACTGCCGCGGGTTGCAGCTTCTCCCACCCCTTGGGGACACGCTGCTCCCGGAGGGCGGGCGCTGGCAGAGCTGCCCCTGGAGTGATGCCATGGCTCTCGTCTATCCACAGGTCGTCAGACTTCGGGACGTCCTACAGCAAGCTCATGCTGCAGCCGGGCGTCCCCACGGTCATCGACAACTTCTACATCTGCCCCACCAACAAGCGGAAGGTGAGTCCCAGAGGGCGAGGCGGAGCCGTGGGCAGGGCTGAGCAGGAGGCTGGCCCGGGGAGGCAGCTGCGGGCAGCGGCTCGTTTCCTGTGGGTCTAGTGGAGTTTCCTGGTGGGGATGCGCTGGGCTCTGCTCCCTGCCTGGCTGGGGAGGCCCTCGGTGGGCTGAGCAAGGGCCACCCACTCCGAGGAGGCTGAGGGGCAGGCAGGGCCCTGGCTGGGAGCCACGGGCTGGGCCTCAGTTTTCCTGTGAGAGTCGTGATGGGTGGTGACTGGTGTGTGTGTGCACAGCATGGACCGGTGCCCCAAAGTCCCCAGTAACCGCAGGGAGGCACCCCAGGGCTGCAGCCCCTGTGAGTGTGGGCCCCCACGAGCAAGGGCAGCAGCCGTGGTTGGATGCAGGTGCTGCGGTCGGCCGGGCGGGGTGGCACACGTTCTCTGGCCATGTGTGGTCCTTGCGGGGCTCACAGTGGGTGTGACTTGGCTCTTTATATGGTCAGTGCGTGATAACACATTAGAAACCCCATCACGTTAAGCAACATGCTCTTTAGTGCTTATATTCGTTAACTCCAAGGGGCCTTGATGGCTCAGTGGGTTAGGCACTGGGCTGCTAACAGCATGACCAGCAGTTCAAATCCAGCAGCCGCTCCTGGGGAGAAAGATGAGGCCATCTGCTTCCACATGATTCCTGGTCCTGGATGCCCTGTGGGGCAGTTCTCCTCTGGCCACCGGGCTCACTGTGAGCCGAGTCGGGGAGTCAGGGAAAGCGTGTCAGGAGGCAGCACACACTCAGGAGTGTCATGGATGCTGCTGAGCTGCCCGTGTGGACACCGATTTGGTGCCCTGTGCACGTGCACACAGGAAGGCCCAGCAGGCTCTGCTGCAAAGGATGCTGACATGAGATCCTGGGTGAGGGGCTGGGGCTGAGGGCCAAGGGCAGGGCAGGGCTTTCTGCAGCCTCTGAGGGCAAGCAGGGGCTGGGTGCTGGGCAGGCTGGGCACGGAGAGGCCCGGTGACCCCTCCCAGAAGATGGACCATTGAAAGCACGGGAGCTGGACCCTGACTCAGGCAGGGGCAGGGGCCGGGGCCGGGAGAGCTGGGAGGCTGCGCACCTGCACCTCCCTGTTGGTAGAAACCGGCCCTCACCCCAGGGCTCTGCCTGCCTCACCGCACCAGGCGGGTGCCTCCAGGCGGGGGCTGCCGTGTGGTGTGAGCTCTGCTGATCGATGCACACAGAGACTGTCCCCACGTGGCACAGACAGCCACCCAAGCACGCCGCCGAGAGGCCCGTCGTAATTGTCACGTAATTAGAGTCCAATTAAATAATGATTTGTGCCCCATAAATGAGCCATTATGTGTCCTCCAAAGTCCTGCTGGACTCTTAACGGAGCGTGTGGCTCCCTCGCCAGCTCTCTGGAGATCGGGCTGTCAGGGACGGAGGAGGGGGAGGGGGAGTCATGTGGGGGCAGGGTCTCTCCTGGGTTGCTGTGCAGATGGGCAGGAATCCCCAGGGCTGGCTGATAGGGTCCTCTAGAGAGGCAGGGCCAGTGGGCTAGATGAGGGGAGGGGGGCTTCAAGCAGTGCCTGGAAAATCCCTCCTTGCCACTCAGGGTGCCATGACCACCCCTCGTCTACAAACACATATCATGACAAAAACTGGGTCTCAGGCTGTGAGGACGATGGGCTGGTCATGGATCTGCAGACTGAAACCACTGGGCCCGGACATTCCAATGGCCGGGGTCACGCAGGGAGCGGGTCTGGATGGGGGAGGGGGAGGGAGGGAGAACCAGCCTTACCAGAACACCCATGGATATGACAGACTCAGACCACGCCTCCAAGGAACTGACCCTTCCGGTTGATTGGCTGATCAGATATTGCATTCTGGAAGCAATCCCAGTCCAGTGTCGGTCAGCCACACCAGAACCACAGGCTCCCTCCGGGCATCCGACCCAGGGGGGCTTCTCCCTGAAACCTGGGCCAGGAGGTGAGGGTGGTGGTCTGGGGCTTCTGTAGGGACAACACCGATTGCTGGGCAAATCTGTGTCCTCCCTGCCACCAGCCTCCACCCCACTGTCCTCTACAGTGACAGCAGACCAAGCCCACAGGCACCCTGTGACGCTCGGCCCGAGGGCAGAGAGCAGGACGCCCACCTCTCCCCACAAGTGCCCCTGGGAGAGTGAGGCACTGGGGTGTCTGTCAGAAAGGTTGGGGAGGTCTATCAGAGACATGGGGGTATCTGCCAGAGACATTGGGTTGATCTATCAGAGACATTGGGTGTCTGCCAGAGAAATGGGGGTGTACGTCAGTGGGAGGAGCCTTGTTCTCGGGCCTCTGCAGCCAGACCCAGAACAGAAGGTTCCCCTCCCCCAGCCCCCCAGCCTGGCTCCACCAGCGGCAGCTGGTCTTTGGGGTGAGTGATGGCTGCCTCAGGTTGGCTGGTCTCTGGGCCCCGGGGTTGAGGGAGCTGAGGAGTGATGGGTTTGGACCAGCCTGCCTCCCGCCCTGTCAGATTTATGGCCCATAAAGCATCGCAGAGGCCAGGACCACGTGGGTGCCCCTGCGGGACCGTCCTCAGCACTTCCTGAGATGTCTGTCCACCTGAGCCAGCCCTGCTGCAGTCCCTGGGTGGCTGGGAGGCTAGGCGGGGCCGGGGTAGGGGGTAGGGAGGTGGGGTCCACCCCAGGAGCTAGTGGTTTCACATAAGCCCCACTTCCTGGTTTCTAAGGTGGGGGCGGGTTTGTCCCTGGACTCCCTCCTCCCTGCCATAGCTCAGCCCCCATACTAATGACCAGGTGGGCAGAGGACACCATGACCCCTTCTCTGCCCTGGCTAAGCCCCCGCATACTGAGGACCAGGTGGGTGGGGGACGCTGCGACTCTGCTCCCCTTTGTGGCTCACCCTGGACCTCCTCCACCCGCTGACCGGCCGCCCCAGACGTCCTCCATCCAGGCCCCGCCCCCGGACTGCTTCCTCTCCCAGCCCCTTCCCCAGGGACTGCCTCCACCTACCCCGACCCCTCCCCATGGAATGCCTCTCCCTCTGGCCCCACCCCACAGACTGCCTCCACCCCAGGCCCCCTGCCAGACTGCCTGCACCCACCCTGACCCCTCCCCATAGAATGTTTCCACCTCTGGCCCCACCCCACAGACTGCCTCCACCGCAGGCCCCGCCCACAGACTGCTTCCACGCTCCCCAGCGCTTCCCCCCTCCCACACCCCGCTGGCTCCACCCGCGCGCCCCACTCCCCCACTTTCTCCACCCCTGGCCCCTTCTTCTCTGCAAGGGGCTTGGCGCAGGGGGCTTTACGTAACAGAGGTTTCCTTTCTGCACCCGCTTCCTTTCTGCAGCCTGGCACCTGCACTCAGGGCATGGGCCCTCAGGGATGGTCCGGCTTGCTGCGTGTCAGTGTCCGCTGGGAAGGCCTGGGCTTGCTGGGCGCTGAGCTGGACTCCTGCCCTCCTGACTTTCAGCAGGCTGTGTAGCGCGGCCTGCAGGCAGCAGGGTCAGGACCTGTCCAGGCCAGTCCGCCAACCACAGCGACCCTGGGCGTGGGGCTTCAAATCCTCTGAGTCTCAGGTTTCATTCCTGAGGCCAAAAGCAGACCCTGGAAATTGGCCGCCGGTCCTGGGCTTTCTGGCGACTCCCAGGAAGGGGTGGGGGGAGAACAGATGGAAGCTGGCAGATCTGGATTTACCGTCTGAGGGCTGTAAGTGGCCCGTCCCATTTCCTAACACTGGAAATACGTATTCCTAACATCCGCCTTCCAGATACCCCTTCCCGGCCTCCCTTCCTACGGAAAGGGGGATGACGTCCATCCTCCCGAAACACAGAGACAGCTCTCGCTGCTGAAGGGGCACACCGTGGGAGTGCCCCCTACAGGACTGACTTTATTCAGTTAACCACCGTTCGCAGGGACAGTACATAGTCTGTGATCGTGAAGCCTGGCTCTTCATGGCTTCCCAGAAAAACTCCCTGCCATCAATCAATGCCAACTCACGGAGACCCTCTAGGACAGGGCAGAACTGCCCCTCTGGGTTTCCGAGACTGTGACTCTCTATGAGAGCAGAAAGCCTCGTCTTTCTCCCTTGGAGCGGCTGGTGGTTTCGATGATCCTTGGAACTTGCAGTTAGCAGCCCCACAAGTCACCCAGTACTTCACACATCTGGACTTCACGGGTCCTAACAAAACCCAAATCATGGCTGGCCAGTCGGTTCGGACTCATAGGGGCCCTGTAGGACAGGGGAGACCTGTCAGACAGTGAATCTTTTGGGGAGCTGATGCAGAATCCCAAACTCAAACTTGCCATCACGGCAGAACTGCCCCTGGGAGTGCTGGAGACTGTGAGTCTTTGTGGAAGTGGACAGCCTCATCTTTCTTCCTCGGAGCGGGTGGTGGGTTTGAACCAGCGATCTTGTAGTGGGCAGCCCAATGCTCACCCCGCAGTGCCACCTTGCAGGTCCGAAGGACCAGAAAGAGACATTGTGTTAGCTCGCGGTGGCCTCGTTTCTGAAGTCACGAGGCCAGAGGCGGAGCCGGGAGCAAGAGCCGGGTGGGCCGGCTGCCGCCCAGTGGGGACTGTGGGCTCTGTCCTACCTCCTACAGGTTCACACCTGAGGGATGAGTACCTCCCCACACCACGTTCGTCCAAAGACACTTGGCTTTCCACGAACAGAACCCAGCATGGTGATTTGTTTCCACGTTTACGTTAGCCAGAACGGAAGGAGATGGGGTTCCCGTTCCTCTGTCACACTGGCCATGTTCCAGTATAGCCGGCATGGTGCAGTAGTTCAGTGCTCAGCTAACTGGAAGGTGGACGGTTCATACCACCTGGTGGCTCAAAGGGAGACGGGCCTGGTGATCAACCGAGGTGACTCCCTGGGACAGCTCTCTGTTCCCCGGAGTCTCTGGGAGCTGGGACAGACCAACATCAGTTAACATCATGAACCTGCAGCCTGGAGGCTCATTCACCCAGCGGCTCAGAGGGAGACGGCCTGGTGATCA